CGCTGCCATACGCTCAGTGATAATTTTCCACATTTTTGTCTTGTTTTTCACGGATGCGCTTTTCCCCACCTTGGGCCGCAGCTCCTCAATAAGCGCAAGCATTAATTTTACTGGGGCTTCAACCCATGCTTGCTTCTCTGCAGAGCCGAACATTCCCTAGGATGGAAGTTCTTCCTCACTTCGTTGTAAGCTTTGCATTTCCAGTGCCTCTACCGGATTTTGAGCCTCTTCTCTAATACTCCATTCTGAGCCTCATGAACTTCACCCAATAGCTGCGTTGAGAAGATTACTTCATTGTAATCTTCCCGATTTTCTAGCACTTGGGAAGCTAGCTGTTGCCGGTAGACTTGATCTGGAAAAAGCCCATGTATTTATGTAAAGGCATAAATTGCGTTACTTTCTATAAAGAACTTACCATTTTGAATCCGCATGAAAGTTCCTGGTGAACATGTTACGTTAAGTTGCGAATTATTCATTTTTTATTGATAAGATAAATCCCAGCGGCTCGACAATGAAAACAAGATGGTATTTTTATTTGACATTAGTTTTGTTGTTTTTGCCATTCTTCGGACTAAAAATTTGGTTTTTCGCGTTCCTTTACTTTTTCGTGTTATTCTCTTTTAGTGAGCGCAGTTTGCTTACGCTCTTGCATTTTGACACTTTTCAGATTTTAGTCCATACAGATAAGGAATGGACCTATTATGTTCTACAAAGTTTGAGAACAAATTGCGATCACAAGACATGTGTGCTGTTGCGCCGCTATCTAAACACCATTTCGTTCTGTCAAACATGTCGCAGTTCGATGCAGCTTATACAGTGAACGAAAATTATTTTTGTTGTTTCGATCCGTCGTTTTGCTTTGATGTACAATTTGCTTTTATGTGTCCACGCTGACTACAACGAAAGCAAATGTATTCTTTGACTGCTTACCCTTGAACTTCTTCTCGCTGTTCTGCGCTGACTTCGCTGCAAACGCTTGCTGAGCGCCGCCTTCAAGTTTTGTATGTACGTCACTGTTAAACCTGCGTTCGCTTTCTTCCAGAAGTTTCATCTTCAAAACTTCAACTGTCGGCAGGTTGTCTCTTGTCTCCATTGCGATGACGAAGTTTTCAAACTCCTTTGGTAGACTCGATAGCAGTATGATAGAAACGAGCTCATCATTAAGCGGAATTCCCACTTCGGCCATCTTATCCATGACTGTTGTAAATGAGTTTAAATACACATAATTTTCTAACCCTCGACCAATTTGAGGTTAAGTAGCTCTTTATAAAGCGATACTTTTCTGACCGGACCGCTCGGCTCCCTGCAGTGAAACCCCAAACTAGTCAGGAAAAATACTAGTTTACAACTAGAATTTCCTGACTGAAACCGAACTAGTTCGAAAATTACCAGACTTGTCCCAGGTGCAAAGCGATTTATTAATGCCCTGTTTTATTTGACTTTGACAGTTTAATACAATAAAGTACACAAAATATTTTAACTTTTATTTGGGTATATTGTAAACCGCTAAAACGAGTACGTACTCGCAATTATACCATACTTGTTAAATAATGATTAATATTCACAATGATTATTATTTAAGGCATGTTTTTTTGGATAACCGTTTAATGATTAAATGCCGATATTAGCGCCTTTTTAATGATTACTAATTAAATACAAATTTTTAATTAATTCGTTAATTTTAATTACATCATTATTTTGTTACTTTTGATCATTTTCAATTATTTTTGACCTTTTTTAATCACACGATTAATATAATTATTTGATTAATTTCAATTATCAATTAACAAGCTTAAGTATAGACAAAAATTAAAAATATTTAATAACTTTTTGAATTATTTATTTATTTTATTCTTATCCAAATCTCAAATTTTAAACATTATTACATTTAAAAAAATTTAAAAAGAAAGGGCTGAAATGCGCAAAGTTAATGAATTTAATTTATTTTAATGAAAACTTGTATTTTTATTTTAGGTCACTCAAAAATGAACTAAATTATTCGTCTTATTTTTAACTAAAATGATTTCTTTTCCATATTCAATACTATTAAAAAAGATAAAAATATAATGTTTATTGTACTTGAAAGCTTTTACTTTTAATAACATTTTATGGAAAATGCATTTAAAGTAATGTTCGAAAGTTTGAAATATTTATGTATTTATTTCTCCCTTTAATTAATACTCAAAAAATTTAACACTAATTATTGGCAAATCTAGGGCTGCTAAATAAAAATATGTAATGTATTATAGTGTACCTAATCAAAAGTTTTTCATTGTATATTCATGAATTCATTTTATTTTTTGACTTCTAAAGTAGTGGTTTTGGTCCATAATTGGACAGGTAGTTTTCTGTCTATTTTGAACTAGTATGAGACTGGTATATATCTGACCGAAATCTGACAATTGCCATCTCGTAGGACATCCCCATGTTAAAAATACCAGTTGATTGCATGGAAAAAAGATAGTTGGCTGACTAGTTGGGCATGCGGTTCATACTAGTTGTGAAGTAGTTTACAACTAGTACATTTGACTACAGGCCTGATACACTTCTTTAAGTCTTCTCCACGCTGGAGGTGCAAAACTATCGATGGCACTATCGATAGTATCGATGTTTTTTATTTTTCCCTACTATCGATTGTTTTTTGGTCCTATCGATAGTCCGACAGACATGTGATTCAGTATTTATTTTAGTTATATTTCTTCTTTTCTTTACATTTCTCTTAAACATCCAAGTTGAACTAAAAATTTGGTTGCTACATTTTTAAAAGAGTAATGTCAAATTTCGAAAATTACGGAAAACCTTACATCTTTTAAAATATCGCTAAAAAACTGATACAAATTAATTTATACCAAAACTTTAAATATTATC